CTGATTAGAATATTTGGAATTTCAAAAGCTTTTGACAATGTCCTTCAACAAAGGCTCTCAAAAAAAGAAAAACCTAAGTTGCCGTGGGATTGGAGGGGAAGTCCTTTTACAGAAAGTTTTTTTTAAAAAAAACAAGGGGAAAAAAGGGAAGTACTAAGTTGTCATTTCTCAGGATGGTGGGAAAGCTAAACCTTCTCCCGTATAGTCATAACAGGCATGAAGAAATTAAATGAGCTGTAGCATACGCAACCTAGCCTCCACCCCCCTCCTCTTTCTTCTTTCTGCCTTTCTCTTTTCTCCCTCCCTTTTCCTGCTTTCTTTCGCTCTTCTCCACCCCACCCCCCGCCATTGGATGTGGTCATCTTCGCTTGCAAAGGACAAACAACATTCTGTAAAAAGGTGGTAAAGTCTGCAGATATTAGACCAGAGAAGTTCGAATCATTTGAATAAGGTAAAGAATGTTGAAAATATGATGGTGTCATTATTTTTAAATCATTGGAAGGCCCTTATCTTGAAAAGTGCACCACAGAAATAAACTGTGCTAAAAAACACGAGACATTTTAATTTCCTCTGTTTACCATGAAGAAAGATTAAAAACATAAGATTTACCTTAAAGAGAAGACAGAGAAGGGCCATCAGAAAAATATATGGAGAATTATCAGCCAGGCTGCCATGAAGTCCTTTTACTGTGCAACATTAGCATTGCTATTGTGCAAACACCTACACAATTGACTAGATAAACCCCGAGTTTCAAATAGGAATCCAGTGTCAAAAAAAATTTTTTGACCTATTGTGGCCTTTCTGAATTCTTTGCAATAGAAAAAAATTGCTGCATTAGTTTTTCCATAATCAAAGAACAAGGGAAACCTAAGATCTAGCATTTTCTGAGGGGGGAATCCTATGTCTAACAAAGGATATCAAGCAGCGGTGCTCAATCTTCTGAGCCTACAGGTGCAGGGCTGGTTCACAGGCCAGATTAGGCCCCATACCAGGATTGGACCCTGTGCCTGGCCCCTGGAGGCACAGGTTGGGCCCTGGGGCTCCGCACTGGCTCTGCCCAGACACTGCACACCAGGATCAGGCCCTGGAGTTCCACACCTGGCCGTGCATGTCAAGATTGGGCTATATATCACCCTGCACACCCAATCCAGCACTCAGGACTATGCTACCTAACCTCCAGGGCTCCCCACAGGTCTAGAAATTTGACAAGAGGGCACCAGTATCACTGCTCCACCACCAGACTTTCAGACCCATGGAAAGTGCTCTACAGGCTGGATGATGCAGCTCCATAGGCAAGATCTGGCCCACATGCCAGAGTTTGAGCACCCCTACCTTAGAGCAATCACAGCTATTCCTGCATACTCTGTGGTAGTTGTACCTCAGGATGGTGGTTGGGATTTGTCTGATGCAAGAAATTTGTGTTTCTTATGACTTTTCTCTTTATATGAAAATAATGAGAAGACAGAACTGGCTGCTTAGGCGAGTCTCTTCAACTCTGCCGTGAGGGTGGGAAAAAGATACAAAGGCACATACAGAAAAAAAATCCTTGAAAACTAGCTATTAATCTGGAACTGAACAGCAGGATTATGAGGACAAAATCATTCTTCAGATGATGTGGAGAGTCATGGATCCAAGCCTTCCCAGCAACCTGATGGAAACTCATGCTTCACTCTGCCCTAAAATAGCAAGAGATACTTAACACAACCCAGCCCACAATGAGGCAATAGATCTCTACATGCATCACTCCCACAAGCTGAGTGATAAGCAAAGAAGCATTTAGTGCACCACCTGGTGTTTCTTATTACACAGAGTACAGATTATGCGAAGATTTCTGCAATTACGCCATCCAGAATTGAAATGCAAAACACTCTGGGCACTACAGCAATGGCTTCCAACACACAGGAATTGAAGTGCAGCCCCCATTACAGGTACAGAAGACAAACTTAGCCCCACATACCTATAATATGCACAGTAAAGACAAGTTTCACTTAGTGTGGGAAACCTTTTTCAATGTCTTGACTTAAAAGTATTTAAAATATAATTGTTGGTAATACATTATAAAGCAGGAAAGTGTAAAAGGAGAGGACCAAAGCGAGACCTGCAAGGCAGAGGTGGCTAGTCCCCTACCGAATGTGAAAATTAGGCTAAAAGGCAGATTTAACTTTATCTGTCATTTGAACCATGCTGGGGATAAAGAGCATAAACAGTTGTGATTCCTCTATTTATTGCTTTTAAGACAAAGAAGCTAATAGAGGAACATCTTTTTCATAACCTATACTATTTCTGCTGTACTACTGCAATTAAATATTCAATTACTCCCAAGTCTGAATGTGAACTGAGACTTTAAATACACCTAGGCTGAGTGAAGGTTAATCTTTACTAAGTGCAGTTGCCTGCTTCTTAGACACTAGCACCATCACGTGGCCAATTTTTGTCACTTGAATTTGATTTAAATTTTTTGCTAATATGAATCTCACTTATGGCAATTAATAAAACAGATGATCACAATTTTATTTAAGGAAATGTCCAATAATAAAAGCTAGATTCTGACCTTGTTTTGCTTACCAGAACATTTTGGAGAATATACATCCTAAGAAATGTCTACAGCCCAGTTTCTATACTACACTTTCTTGTTACTAAATCTTTTGGTATGTTAGACTCAAGGCCCTTTGTCATTTTGAAATTGGGACTCGTGTTTCTTAGTCACAAAAGCACTTTTGAAAATTCTACTCTGTCCCAGCTATTTGAAATAATCTTGTCATAGCAATACAGATACAGGAATCCTGAAAGATGACGTGACATCAGTCCCTATTTTATCCAACTATGTAACGTATGCAATATATGTATGAGTATATGCATGCATTTCATTTCATGTACATAGCTTTGAGACACTTTTTGGAAAAATTGCTATAACTTAGCAAGGCATTTGTAAGAGAATTCTGCCTCCTGCTTTCCTTGATATGAACATTATAACACCTGAGAGACAATTGTTTACATGTTTAAAAACATCCTAAAAAGCTGCTTGTCCTAGAAAGGTCCAATGTCCTGCGTTTGGCAGCCTTCAACAGGTCCTAGCAATTTTGGGCACATTTACACGAGATGCTATGGCACAGTAGTAACAAGCTAATGCGCCGTAGCTGGTTGCTATGGCACAGTAGCATTGCCAGGCACTAACCACATGGTGATGATGCTGTGCAGTAACTCATTGCTACGGAGCAGGAGAGATGGGAAAAAAACATAGTGACAGTACTGTGCAATAAAGCCAGTTACTGTGCAGTCATTTAGTACTGGCTTATGCAAGTACTAAATGACTGTGCCGTAACAATTGCGCAGTCCACCACTTGTGTAGACAGTCACTGAGTTGGACTTGTGCTAAGGTAAAATTGCACTGTTTGACACAGACATGCAGCAAACTGGAGGATATTACAGGGGGCAAAAACAAGAGGATGAAAGAGACTACTGTATCAAATAATCAAGATGTCAGAACTCAGGAGATTGACTTCTCACTTTGACATACCAGTGACCACAATAATTCGGCTGTCAGGAGTATGTTTCATCACAAGAGCTCAAAATACAATGCATTTAAGTAATTCAGTCTTATAGTTCCTTTGTAAAATCACTGTCATCACCAAAATGGGCAGAACTAAGATTCACAAGACTTGTAAACCAAGAGACATGAGAGCCAACACAACAGTATCAGAACTAGGTCTCCTAACACCCAGTCCCATGCTTACATGCTACATCTGTAATCTTAGTTATGAAAGTCACTTCACCGTTACCAATAATTTCTGCATTTGCCATACAGGCAGCCCTCAGACTTTAGACACAATTGGTTCCTGAAAACCACATCCTTAAGTCGAAACGTAACTCAGAACCGATTTTCCCTTAGGAAACAATGTTATAAATGGTTCCTGAACCAAGGCCCAATACCCTATTCTCACCAAAAATAACCCAGAATGTTGTACTCAATCAATTATAGATGAGTATTATAGCTACATTAACATATTTATATCATAAATAGCAATCATACTGATTTGGAAGGACTTCTTTGAGGTGCCTTTGTTGGACTTTTTGAAGGGTTCTTGGCTGGAGTCTTCTCAGGAATCTTGGCTGCAGGTTTTTCTGGAGTCTTGTCTGCTTTCTTAAAGAAAGCATCCAAGGAAGTTTGGAGAGATGCTCTCCAGGGAGATGAGTGACACAGCAAACTTGTTCGCTGGCATGGCATCGGCTCAAACATTGTAAAGTCGAAATTGAGGTCAAAAAGTTGAAACAGGGTGTCAATTTATAAACACTGTAAGTGCAAAACATTGTAACTCAAAACATTGTAAGTTGAGGACTGCCTGTAATGGGGCTAATGTTAAACTACCTCACAGGTTAGACTGTTAGACCATATTTGTACGATGGAAATACAAACTGTATTAAGCAACCTATAAAGCTTAGAAGAAGCAGCGGCATAAGGAAAAATCAAACATCTTTCCATATACCATAGCTCTTTCATGGACAGCCTAGAAGTCCCAAGAAAACTGGGAGCAAGGATGATGGTCAAGATTATTCATATACAACTTTTATTCCAATTTAGCAAATTTTTCCTCTCTATTCCTTAGTTAAAAGCTTGCATGAAACACCCATTTTCTACACGAATCAACGACTGAACAGTTTTTCATTCTCAGGTTTATTTAAAGTTGACATCAAAAATTAAAAAAATAAAACCTAGTGACAAGAATCAAGCTTGGAAAGTTGCCGTTCATTCTTAGATCCTCCTGGTTTATACACTGGGACCAAACCAACAACACTGGAACCTGGAGTGTAATCAAAATAATCTGCACCAAGGCTTTAAACTTCAGTCATTTTTATAGGAGAAAAGTGTTAAATTTCTCATTTCTTCGAGTAATCAATTAATTAGCTGCATAGTTAATACTGACAATTGAGAAGTCCATATACAATCCCCATGGAAACTACACATTTTGCTTTTTCTCTAGCTCTAATTTGTGTTTCAGACATTTCTTCTCCCATGTTCTGTTTCAGTCTTCATCCCTCCCATGCTACTGTTCTTTGGGTGAAGTCCTGGGCTTTCTGAAGAGAAAGCCTCTTTCCTACATTTAGATTTGGTTTGCTTTCTGGTTAGTCAACACTACTTTTTCAGCGTGACTGGAGATCAAGGCTGTATACCGCTTCCCTACAGGTTCCAAGTGCATGCTCTATGCAGCATCCCCACTGCCTGTGGGCCTCAAGACTAAGTCAGTTTAAAAGTAACGAACATTGTTACTGGATTGCTAGTGAAGCTCGCTCAGCCCTGGTTTGTCCTATGCTCATACTTTTAATTCCTCCCAGTCTCCCATTTTTTTCATCCACCCTTCCATCAGAATTGTGGCCATGCTGTTGCTTGTTAGAGGACTCTTAATCTAATTTGCTAATCTAGTCCTGATGGGGAATCACTATGTACAGGAACAGAAGCACAGGCATCATCAATCCCCACCCCCTCCTCCCCCCATCCTGCTTGTAAGGCATAATTTAGAGCAGCACACACAAGGATTTTCTACCAAATTTAAAACTTGTGGAGAACATGGAAGCAGAAAAGAGCAAGCAGAGTTTTGGAAAGTCCAGCTATTTCCCCTTTCTGAACTTTGCTGCAGCTGCAGCATTGCCTTTTGCTTTCTTTTTGGTTGGTCCCTTGGGCTCTGGCTCCTTTCGCTTGGCTGAAGTAATGGAGCCAGTCACCTTGAAGAAGTCATCCAATCGGCCCTGAGTGCTACCTTGGCGGCTCTTGCTCAACCTCTTGATCCCATTGCGGATCCGTTCTTCATTGAACTGCTTCTCCCCACACATAAACCGGACAAGACCATCTTCATCAGGCTCACCCCACTTTAACTCCACAGCCTCAGGGTCTACCACATCAGGCTGCAAAAAGAGGTGTTGGGCTTCCTTGTGCAGCCAGTTCTCAGGAAGAGGGTACTTCTTAGTGTCTATGTGCTCCATGATCTTCTCAATGGTTTTATGTTGCTTGATGAGCTCAATGGCACGCTTGGGCCCAATACCACGGATGCTCTCACAGTAGTCACAGCCCAGGAGAATGCACAGGTCCACAAACTGCTCCCATGTCAGGTCCAGCTCCTGCAGGATGCGGTTCAGGTGGAATTCCTGGATAGGCAGTTTCTTGGCCTCGCTAGCTGTGAGGTGTCGCATGAGCACCGGACTGCCAAAGGTCAGGCAGTCCATATCCTCAGTGGCAGCTGCATAGACTTTGCCAGCTTTCACCAAGGTGGCACAGCTGGCTTCAGCCTCGCCCGGTGCTTCCACATAAGGGATGCCCATCAATGACAGCAGCTTCTTGCATTCATCATTATGCTGCTTGGTTACCTTGACCAATCTCTTGCTGAACTTCTCAACGTTCTCCTCCTCGCCTGCCTCCTGGGCCTCCTGCAGCTGCTTCTCCGCCTCAGCACGGCGCTCACTCCGCTTGGCCAGTTCCCCTGACTTCAGCTGGGGGGGCTTGCCATCAAAGACGTAGATGGGCTTGATGCCATTCTCCACCATGCGGATGGTGCGATAGAACATGCCCATCAGGTGGCTGGTGGTCTCGCCCTCCTCGTTGTGCAGCACATCAGCCCCCTGGCGCACAGCAATCAAGAACTGGTAGATGCTCATGGAGGCGTCAATGGCCACCTTCCGCCCAAAGTAGCTCTTGATGTCATTCTCCCGGATGGCACTGGGAACCATGTCCGCAATCAGCTTGGCCAGGCCATGGATTCCCATCCTGGCAACAAGAAATGGGGAAGTGAGGACAGGAGCAGCCCTAGGGTCACATTAAGTTTTTAAGGACAACAGGCACATGCGGGACAAATGGAGCATGCCAGGCCTCACCACATGAGCACTGCTGCCATAGCAGAGGTGCTTCACTTGCACCAGTAACCTGGTGTGCCAGGAGCAGATGGAGAGGAGGAGGTAGACAAGGAAACTTGTCCTGCCCCCTTCAATCTCCCCTTGCAGGAACACAGGGAGGACCCATATAGGAGAGGAAGCCTCACCACCAAGTGCTGGATTAGCCCTTCCCCACCTCTGCCCCCGCCACAGAGTTACTGGCCTCAGAACAGCGTTTCTCATCCTTTTTTGTTCCAGGACCCATTTGTAAACAATGAAGGGCAGTTCCGACACAGTGCCCCTCCTGCCCCCCAGCTGTGGAGGGCATGGGGGGCCCCAAGCAGACCGGACCTCTGCCAGCCTGCAAGGGAAAAGCCCCAACTTTCCACGTTTTTCTCTGTTACAGGCAAGTTCATTTGTACAGCCCGTCCACACCCCTTTCATATGTTCTTGCGACCCACTTTTGGGTCACGGCTAGAGTGGCCATCATAGAGGACGTCCCTGTTTTCTGCTACTCCGTCTTCTATCAACACCACACCCGACCCCCTCTATTTTTCTCTTCCAAGAGGAAGAGACAGGGCGGAGGGCAATTGGACTGTCCTCTACGATGGCCGCCCTAGCTACGACCCACGGGTTGAGAAACGCTGCCCTGGGAAGCGTCGCTCTCCTCACAGAAATGGGGCGGCTGCCGAGCGGAGGAAGTGGCAACCCGGGCCCCCTCCAAGCTCGGCAGCATCCTGCCCCCACCCCGCATATCAGCCATCCTGGGTGCCCCGCGCCCTGGCCGGTGCTGCTGAGGCGAGCAATCAGGTACGCGGGAGTGACGGTTAGGACCGTTGGCGCGCGCCAAGCGTTCGGAGGGGGGCGGGGAGGGGCTATTACCTGCTGTCCCACACCCAAGGCCGCCGCTGCCTCAGCACCCGCGATCCGAATCCCCGCGCACCGGTCACGTGGGCGCCGCACCGCCCCTCCCCCCAGCCAACCGGATGCGCGCGCGCGGGAACGAGGCCAGCTGCTGCCGGACCACAACTCCCGACAGCCCCCGCGCGCCTCTTTCCGCAGCCGCCTCTTCCTGCTCCGGGGTCAGAGGTGACGAGCGACGTGTCCTTCCGTTGCCGGGGAGCGGGGCGGCGGCGGCGACATGGTGAGTGGGGGCAGCGGCGGGAGTTGCGGAGGAGGGGAAAGGCAGGACTTCCAGCGTCTCACCCGCCTTCTTCCCCCGTCCTCCTCCCCAATTGCAGGAGCTGGAGGCGATGAGCCGCTACACGAGCCCGGTGAACCCGGCCGTATTCCCGCACCTCACCGTGGTGCTGCTGGCCATCGGCATGTTCTTTACCGCCTGGTTCTTCGTGCATCCGCCTCGGCCTGTGGGTGGGGAGGGGAGGGCAGAGGAGGGGGCAGCGCTGCCAAGGCCTCAGCAGGAAATGATCGTATTGAAAGCTCAAAACGATCGGATTTGCTGAAAAACTACCGTACACGGTGAAAAAAATAGGCATATAAGTATGCAAATGAGTCTTCTTGTTTACTTTATATTGCCCAGTGTAAGTGACGAGTGACTGAGAGAGACCTGGGGCATCAAAGTTGGAGCATTTCTTTATTTCAAGGCAAGCTGCCGTAACAAAGTACTGGCAGCAAACCCAAAAGTCACTTACGACTCTCTGAGAATAACTAGGGTTTTGCATGTGCTGCCACAAAAACGACAGTATGTTTTGCAGACAAGGTACTCTGGGTGAACCATGTCTGCCTATGTCCTTACACCAACACAGCTACAACTGAGAAGTTAGGGAGCTTCTGGAGGGTCTGGATGTTTTCAAGTCAGCCGGTCCAGATGATCTCCACCCTAGAGTTCTAAAGGAACTGGCTGAGGTCATTCCAAGTCCCCTGGCATGGCTTTACGAGCACTCATGGTGCTCTGGAGAGGTACTGGAGGACTGGAAGAGGGCCAGCGTGGTTCCCATCTTCAAAAAAGGGAGGAAGGAGGACCCGGGAAACTATAGGCCCGTTAGTCTTACCTCGATCCTAGGCAAGCTGTTTGGGAAAATTATTCTGGCACACATCCAGGAGGGGCCAGCAGGGGACTGCATGCTTAGGGGCAACCAGCACGGGTTCATCAGTG